TATAAGTACAGTCCAGTTACCGTTTACCACATGCACATTAGCTTATGCTAAAGTCCAACAACAGCCAATCAAATGGTGATCTTTATGTTTGAGCTGTGCACTGTCCCTTTTTAAACAACATATTTATTTTAAAAAAAGGTGTAATGCTAAGACGTTGCACCTTCTGGATGCAGATGGCTGCAGAGATGGTGTCAGCTGTTTCAGCATCCTTCCTCTTGGACCTTGAGATTTCCTGAAGTAATTTTGCTCTCAGACGTCCTTGTCGTGCCCTCTCTGCGCTCTGAATGATTTTTATGGCCTCTTCTTGAGTCATTTCCTCGAGCGTCACTGACTAAAACAACAAATGACAGAACAAAGAACTCGATGGTTACCTCCAGACAATAAGTCTTTTGATTTATTCGATTTATTGATTAGGATCCCCATTAGGTTCCACCAAGGTTACTAATCTTCCTGGGGTCCAACTGATATAACACAACAGTATTTATACAACACATAAAACTGTGACATAAAATATACACTTCCACGTTTTACAAAATTACCAACACAAGCCTAGTTAAAAACAAAACAAAAAAAAATAATAATAATAACAATAATAATGAGAAAATAAGATTTAATACAAATAAGATTTCAGTGTTATTTAAAAAGAAAATGTGCTTTTTAAATATCTAATGTTTTTAGGTAATTTATTCCATTCCTGAATAGCTCTACAGACTACTGATTTTTGTAACAAGTTTGACTTATTTACAATTAATTTTGTTTCACAAGAGTATCTAGTAACATAATTATACATCTGATCTGAGTAAACAAGCTTTTCATACACTGATTCAGGTCTCCCGGTTAGTATAACTTTGTTTATAAATATAAATAAATTACACTGCACCCTGACCTTCAATAATGGCCACAGTAAAATATGGTGCATATCTATAATGCTTGCATGAAATATCTTAACACTGAGTGAGCAGCCTTATTTTGGACTATAGGTCTTGATTTCAAACAAAGTGGATTACTTTTGTCAACCAGTTGATTGTTAAAAGTTTTCATATTCAACAAAATGAGATGGGTAAATCTCCAGACAAAAGCACACAAGTAGATCAATTTGAACTCACATCAAGGCTTTTAATAGCCTCCATCATTTTAAAGATATCCATCAGCATCCCTTTTCTGTCTTGGGCTGTTTTGCTGACATCGTTAAGAAAGTAGTGAGGGATGGGGATTTCAAGTTTTGCCTAAAGCACAATAAATAAAGAAAACACTTCTTGAGTTTAAACACAGTAAGTCAGCACAGCCGTATTCATATTTCATGTTTTCAAAAGCTAAAACTTACAGGTGTGAGTTTCAGGGCGTAAAGGATATCGTCCATATAATGGTACTCTGAAAACTCCTTTTCAACCATTTCATTCTTCAGCTCCAGCACCCTGCCCATCACAGCATCAAGAGATGCCCGAACAACCCGTCTCTTCTGGGGGTGGAGCAACAGGTCATGGACCTCCACCAGTTTCCTGCAGATCTGGATGTAACGCACATAAAGCGTGGCCACTCTCTGGACAAAGACCACCCTGTCTTTCTGAGGGGATAGGGGCTCAGCGGGTAGTTCTTCTGCCAAGAGATCACTCAGCTCGTGCTGGGCGTCTGCCCACATCTGGTTGTAGTACCTACAACAGTAGAGTTGTAAAGTAACCAAGTACAAATACTTTGTTAGTGTACTTAAGTAGAACTTTTGGGTATCTGTACTTTACTTGAGTAATTATTTTTCATCCTACTTTTTACTCCTTATATTTTTTTAAAAGACAAGAAGTAGAAAGTTGTTACTAGTTTTTACACTGATGTGAAAATTTTATCCCATATTGATATTCCATAATAAAACTGTTGCCACCTCCCATAAATTGTGCTTATTTTTACTTTTAAGTAAATTTTATAGCAGAAATTTACTTTTGATATGTACAAAAATATCTGATACTTTAAGACTTTTACTCAAGTAATATTCCTAAAGGAGACTTTAATTTATACCAAAGTATAATTTTGGTAAGATACTTGTACTTTTACTCAAGTATCACTTTGTGGTACTTTATTCAACACTGTACAACAGTGAAAACATACAAACAAACTGAGGGCAAGGCTGACAATACTGGCCACCGCATTATCGTCATTAAACACAGAAAGAAGTACTTCAACAATGAAATGTAGTTTGGCATCTAACCATTAGTGCAGAGTAGTAAAGTGTAAGTAGTAAGGTGCACAGTGTACTGTAATACTGCAGGTATGAATTGAAGATGAATATAACATGTATGTACAATATAGACATTTATGTACAGCCGTTAAACAGTTCAATAAATATCTGTGTATTTAAATCTGGGTTTGACATAAATTTCGTGTGGCAGGTTGCATTACACTCTGTCATCTTTTTAAATTATTTTGTTCCTTTTTTAATGCTTTAAAAAAACAACATAAATTCAACAACAAAAATACAAATATAAATTAAATGAAAGGTAGCAGAAGATACTGACACTGCTCAGTCAGTATTGTTTCCAGATAAATCAAATAATTTGTTGCTAAWGTAGCATAACTAATAAACTAACTTCAACAAAGCAACATTACAAGTTAAAAAAATTAAAGTTACCTTTGCGACATTTCTGCTTAGGGAGAATAAGTGAACATATCAAAAACACGACTTCACGCTCAGCGTGTCTCCATGGTAACTGTAACACCGGAAGTCTCTGCTCAGAATCGTTCCTTCCGTGTTTGGTTTGGTGGTGTTGTGCCAAAAGTGGTTGTCTGCCGCTTCAGCGTCTCTATGAACCATCAGGGACGCACAGAGACAAACATTCACAGCTACGGATAATTTTAAGTTAAAAATTATTCACAAATGCAAGTTTTTGCAAATCACAAATTCCGTGCACATGCATTGCTAATAAATCAATTAAAAAAAAAAAACTACTAAAAATTACTGACTGTTCCTCCAGCACAGCTGRAGCACAGTTTTCTGCCACTAGGTGGTGCTCGTGATGCACAAATTTAGTTTCAGTTTCAGGTTCTGGTTAACAGTAGCTCTTTCAGATCTCAGAGTAAACCACCGGTGTTACACCGTATACTGTGACCACCGTATAATGTGACTGTAAAAAATGTGAGTGATTTGCCCCGCCTCGTGCGTGCGACGTCACGGGGACGGGGAGAGCTCAGCTCGCGCTCAGACAGCAACAGGTTGTTTCAGAGCTCAGTCCGCTCTGCGCTCTTTAACGGATCTAACGGGACTCATCATGAACCGGACTGGAGCTTCACTGTATTCCCAGAAACCTTCACTCAAAAACGGACTAACGGGAGGTTAAGAGCGCCCTTCTGTCTCCTGTTTGTACAAAACATTAACTTCCGTTTGTATTTTTGACTTTTGCGTTTGAAGTTCTCATCTCCTAACTTCAGCTAGCAAGCCGCAGAGAAATGCTACCTTCTGCTCACTTCAGCCTGAGCCTCGGTCCTGTCGGTGTGTTTTTGTAAAAAGCCTAGAATTAAGCAGACAAACGAGGATGATTTCGGAGGAGAGAAGCAGCCACGTAAATAAACAAACCCTAAACTTCCCTGTGGGTTTGCTCATCCGCTCTCCCAAGAGGCGCCTGGCCAAACTGGGGAGGAAACCCAGCAATGGATCCGTGCAGTAAGTCTGTCTCTGAACACGGTTTATTTTATTTATACTGTTTAAAAACGAGTCACGCGGTGTTTTTAATAAACACTTTTTGCACTTAGGAATGTATGATACGATGATGTTAATAAATAAGTTAAATATGCACCGCAGTCTCTAAAAACAGTAATTGTAGAAATAATCTGTTCCATCCCTGCATGGAAAATGTTTTTATGCATATTCAGAGACATTTGGTCTCAAAACAMATATCTTACAAATTTCTCTGTATTTAAACTTCTATTTCTCTTTTGTRGTGTTTTATTATATAGACTATAGAGGTTAAAATATGACCTGTTAGGCTCTCCATTTGTTAACTGTTTGAATTTTTGTGTGGTTTATTGTAACATGTTTTTTTTAATGTTGTTKTTTTAAAATATTGTCTTATTGGAATGGAACAGAGATGGGGACTCGTGTCTCGGACTTAGACCCTACTACTAGAGACTTACTAAGACTTGGATCCTAAAGACTTGAGACTTGACTTGGACTCATGGTTTGAGACTCGCCAACAATGCAAGTCTTTTCAGTAGGGATGTCCCGATACCACTTTTTCACTTCCGATACGATACCGATATTACAACTTTGAGAAATGTCCGATACCGATATTGACCGATACCGATATTGACCCGTTACT